CGCTGCGCAGATTGACAGTTGACAGCTATTTAGGCGGGAATAGGGCTACCAATAATATTTTTTTTTTCATACAAGATTGCTACGATATTTACTAGATTTTTTTTTGTCGCGAAAATGGAAATAATTCAACAGAAGCTGTATTTAAATATGCAACTTTTTAACACTGGGAAGGAGTTGAAGAAAAATAAATCTGAAGTATTCGGTTCGTGACCTAAGTAAATAGGAAACTATGAGAAGGAAAAACAAATGGTAGACTAGAAATATCAGCGCTATATTAAGCCAGTATCAAAAAAACTCTCTCTCACTATCGGTTAATATTTCAACTAATAACAAAGAAAATAAAGATTTTTAAGAAGACAAACTTTTTATTACTAATTCCTTTAATGTAGTAAACATGAAGGACCGTATGCTAATCGGTAACCCTACGTGAGTTGAGTGACAGCGGCCGTCGGCTCGTTAGCGCCGCCATGTTGGAGTTTTTTCTATTGTTTCTCATTGTCAATTGTCTAGGCAACGGCGCCTCGCTCGTTCTGCCACCGATAATATGTTTGTTCAGATTATTCTCTATTTAGAACAACTCTTAAAATAACTGGTTTATATTAATTAATTGCTATTTTTATTCCGATACTAGCTGTCGCCCGCGACTCCGTCCGCGTGGATATATAAAAAAACTTAATTAGTGTAGAACACCCATCCATCCATCCACATCACATCCATCTAAACATTCGCATTTATAATATTAGTAAGTTAAAAAAAATGGAAAAAAAGAATAAATAGTGTCCTATGTCCGTCTCCTGGCTCTAAGCTACCTCCTCACCAATTATCAGACATATCGGTAAAGCCGTTCTTGAGTTATAAAAAATGTAACTAACACGACTTTCTTTTTGTTTAAGTAAATATTTTTTAATATTTATTTACATCCTTATACATATATATACTTATAATACATAAACTCTTAAATCTATGATATAAAATAAAATTAAAAAAAAAAAACCGAATAATTAACTAAAATATGTTAATAAAAGGAGTCCCTTTAGGCAAGGTCCCGAAGATACTGGCAGCGTTCCCCCTCTGTACAGCTAAACTAATTCTTTGACCGAGGTAGCTGCCAGCTCTTCGGTCCCCTGTGATGTCGATTAATTTTTTGGAAATGTCCTTAAAAAGTCTTAAAGCGCTAGGACCCCACGGACCAAGGGTCTCGACGCCGAATGGGACAAAATGATATTCGGAGCCTAGACCCCTGTATTTGCATGCTTTTGCATTTTCAGCCGCTTCACAAGCCGCACCCGCTCTGTTGTTGGTTCCATGTAGATGGGAAGGGGCCAGCGTGTCTGAACAGGTTGCATCCCATACCAGCACCCGACCCATCTTCCATGGAATCAAACTCATACCGTCAGGTCTCTTGCCATCGTCTCTTGCTACACCAGTCGGCTCTAGTAGACTTGGCACGTTGACGGTGGCAAGAGACCGACGTATGATATCGTTGAGTGCGGCATGTCTCGAGAAGCGGCCTGCACTTTTTTGGCAAGACAGTCCGTGATGTACTAGCTTGTCGACATCACTGCCACAGGGACACCTATGAGGAGCGCAGACCGGAACCCCAAGCCGAAGACAGGTTGCGATTCGGAGCGTGTCAGGTTCCAGAAATGTTCCTGTATGTGGCGAAGGGTACGCGTGAAGCCAGTAACCAGCCTCATGCGTACCCACAGCCAAAAGCCTAGCACGCGCCGAACCTATACTATAATTTAAAAGATTTTCGTAGGTTACTTTCTTTTATATATAACATACTAGCGGACCCGACAGACATTGTCCTGTTTACACGTCTTTAATTTGAATATTATTTAAAATTTGACACTGCGATGGTAGCGCCGTCTGTCGGATCCAATGTAAAACATTCAAAAATCAACAACTACCAATAAATTAAAAATTAATTAAAAAAACATTGTCCAGCGGACAAAATTGTGAATCTAAACCATTCCCAGATCCCCTTGAACACACACAAAAAATTTCATCAAAATCGGTCCAGTCGTTTGAGATAAGTTCAGTGACATACACACTCACAGAAGAATTATATATATAAAGATATATAGATAATATATTATTTTAAGAATTTAAACTGTTTAATCTTGTGAACAAAACAATAAAGCGGGAAGGAAATGATATTTAGCAACTGTTAAAACAAATAGTATTTAAAATTAATATAAGTCGCATGTAATTTCATAATGAAATGCTCACCACACGAGTACAATAGAACACAGTCGCAATCACCATAAGTGCAAGTGTAAAGATGTTTTTGTCCTCCCCCAGACGTGTTCGTGTTAACAAATGGAATAGGTTAACATACGCAAATGCTAAATAGGTTAACACCTACATAGGAATGAACACTTTTTACTAGTTGTCAGACATGTTGACACTTTCTTTTGTTATAATATTCTTGCACAAGGATCTTTATCATCATCAGTTCACTATACGTCCCCACCGAGGGGTGCCTACCCTAAGTTAACGGTGATTAGGCCATAGTCAACCACGCTGGCCAAGTGCAGGTTGGTTGACTTCACACATATCTTTGAATTTCTTCTCAGATATGTGTAGGTTGCATCACGGTGTTTTTCTTCACTGTAAAAACGTCGGATAAATGTATATATGTAAACGACAGACCGCTAGGTTCCATTTACACCATCTCCATGGCTGGCAACCCACACCGTGCGGTTTGCGCGAAACTTCCTGCCTCGCACAGCAGCGTTGTGGAAGGTCTGTTCTCGGCGGTATTTCCAAACCGCTACGACTTAGGGTCCTTAAAGAAGCGTATTACCATCTCAAAGGCCGGCAACGCATCTGCAGTTCCTCTGGTATTGCTGATGTCCATGGGCGTCGTTGAACACCTCGGTCATCCCGCTGGTCGTTTACTCCCTTCTGTTATAAAAAAAATGCGAATGTTTGGATGGATGGATGTTTGAAGATATCTTTAAAACGTCTGAACGGATTTTATTGAAATTTGGCACACATCTAGAACATTGTCTGGAGTAACATATAAGCTTATTATGTTTTTTTTTTTAATTCTGCGCGTACGCAGTCGTGTGCGACAGCTTGCTACTTATGTATATAGGTTTGGTATTATACCAAATATTATATATTTTACTGATATAATATGCTTTGGTACAAATGTAGTATAAACCGACCATAACATACAATAAAATTGTAACCTTTTAATAAATAATAATAAATTTTCTAGTCATGTATCGTAATTGCATTTAAAACATGATTTTATAGTCAATGTCTTTAACTAAATGTTTATTTATACTGTTAGTAAGAAAATCCGACACTTTACCGGTGTACTGGCACAGCACTAGCCTTACTAAAATGTCGATGTTTATGTTCCCTCACTAATCATTCTGACACTTGACTTGATAACGAAAGCGCGACATTCGCGCCAAATTATTCTAACTAATCTTATATATAAAATTGTCGTGTCACAATTTTCGTTCCCATACTCCTCCGAAACGGCTTGACCGATTCTCATGAAATTTTGTGAGCATATTGAGTAGGTCTGAGAATCGGCCAACATCTATTTTTAATACCGCGCAGACGGAGTCGTGGGCGACAGCTAGTAATATCTAAAAATACAAACATACCGACTTTGTTCCATATAAATACAGTTCTGCGTGTTAATACTAGTTTTTTTAATCTGTCGTGCAGTTATGCACTTAACACTTCCGATTGGACTGGAATAAATTAAAAAAAAAAACACGCTACGGCATTTAAATACTTAGCTTAAACGATTATCGGGGCTAAGTAAATTGAGAATTATAATTAAGTTATAAGTAAATAAGACATTTATGTGGATAAATTAAGTTAATATACTGGAAATAGATATAATTCAGACAAGTTGATTTTATATTACTAATATTACATACTAGCTGTAGCTCGCGACTCCGTTCGTGCAGAATTAAAGAAGCTTAATTAGCAGCCTATGTGTTCCTTCAGATTATGTTCTTCATCCATATTAGTTTTATCGAAATCTGTAGGCCGTTCTGGAAATACCTTCTCACAAACATCCATCCATCCATGTATACATCAAAACATTCGCATTTATATTAGTAAGAAATATATATTTATATTAGTCAGAAGATGCGAAGGTTTAGATAGATGGATGTTTGTTAGAAGGTATCTCTAGGTAATTGAGTGTCGTCAATAGGAACTAAGACCTTTTTCTTTTTTTCAGAGGGGAATGCATACTCTGCGTCCCGGGAGGAGGACGAGGTAGTGATGTGTGATTCTCTTCCGGATTGGAAGCATATCCACTAAACCCCTCTGTTCCTCCAACGCATCATGGCGAGGCCCCGGGCACGCTTTCGTCCGCGACCTCGCCTGCATCAGCTGCCGAAGCAGCTCCCCCAACGGTGGAGGCCCTACCTACAGCAATAGGAATTGAGATCCAGTTAATATTCTCCTAAAATAAGGTTGTTAAGAATCTAATCTGTAATGCAAACAATCTTTTTTTTCTATTCTAAATTGGTTCCATACTTGAAATGATCAGTTTGATTATAAAGTTTGTTGGTTTTAATTAAAAATCATTCAGAACTTTATAAATGTAAAATTATAATTAAATAAATTATCGAAGTTAAAAAATGCGCAGAATTTTTTCTTCTTATCGCTCCTCGCAATAAGGCAATTTACAACGTGAAATTAAATTGCAAGCTTTTTAACATTCCTCGTCCTGTAAGTAGACTTATTATACATAATTTGAATGCGCAAAGACAAGTAACTTATAATTATGCAACGCGTCAAAAATCGCCCAATAAAACACGTCGTGGTGGCGGCTTAATGACCACAATACAACTTAATTACACTGCTATTATAGTAACAATCTGTAAAAAATTCAAGTTTTCGAACGCGCCCGTTCAATAATTCATCAAGATGGCGTCCCGTCTATCAATATAATAATACTGTCAAAGTTTAATTGAAATTCCGTACCGCGGCTGCTCAAAGCGGCGCGTACTATTATTGATACATTACGAGCCCGCGAAAGAGCCATAGCGGCAATTTACAACTGAATTACAAATCTCTGCCGGGCCCACTAAATACACAATCGGGTTAAATCAATCGCGTCCGCCGCCGTCTCTGTCTAACGCGGCGGGCGTGCGCGGGAATGAGCGCGACGCAAGATACATGCATGGCGCTGCCGAGGATGAAAAGCGCCAGCGGTCGCCGCCTCCGAGCACAAAGGGGAAGGGAAAAAAGCTTGTTTGTTCGGGGGCGTGTCTCCGCGGCCCGAGCGGGGCGCAGGCACCAGTCGCTCGGCCGCCGCCGCCGCGAGCGCAGTCCCACGTCACTGTCAAACTCAAATTGACGTTTCAATTTGACAGCCGCCTCCGTCCACCAACCGACCTCCGCGGACACAAACAAAACGACACGACGACCAACATCAGCCGGCATCGCGACCGACATGGAATTAAGAAATCATCGGTGACTCGCTTCAAGAATAACTCGATAAATATTTATACCATATCCAGAGGCCGCGTCGACCGCGCCTGACATTCAAATAATCGTCGCCGGCGACGTCGATGCGCTTGTTTTAATGAATTTTAATCGCGGACCTGCATAATAATTCGGGAGCATTGTGCCGCGTTTGAAGGAGAACCGACCCGTATCAAACAAACAACAGCTATCGGCCGGGGGAGATGGCTTTCGAAGACCGCTGCAGTCCGAACCAGGCGACCAGCCCAGGGCCGGTGTCGGGTCGCGTGCCGGCGCCGCATGCGGAGAGCCCCGTCGGCTACCGGCCGCCCAGCCAGTATACTTGTACCACCATAGACGGTCGATTCGATCGCGGCACGCCTAATATCACTATGATCAAGGTACAGCCGAGCTCACCGCCTCCCAGCCCGGATCGTCACAACGAGATGGAGTACCAGAACTACTACAGGCCGGAGACACCGGACGTCAAGCCGATCATAAACCCGGATGACAGGTTCGAACATGACAAGAGAAGGCAGCAGCCGACGGCGCCGATAGCCTTCTCTATTAGCAACATTCTGCACCCGGAATTCGGTTTAAGCGCAATTAGGAAGACGAATAAAATCGAGGGTCCGAAGCCGGCGGGACCGAACCACAGTATGCTATACAAACCATACGATTTATCAAAGCAGAATGAGTTTCAAAAGTATAGTTTCGATTACTTGAAGTCTAAGGAGCCTAGCGACTTCAACAGTCTTCCGCCTCTGGGTGGACTACGGCAGACGGTGTCGCAGATCGGTGAACTGGTGAGCAAAGAGAAAGAGGTGCAGAAGGTGGTGGAGCAGCGGCGGCCGGACTCTGCGAGCTCTCTGGTGTCGTCGGCCTCTAGCGGCGCGCCCTCCACCTGCAGCACAGATGCTACCAGCCAGGCGTCAGGCAACTCCGCGCTTTGGCCTGCATGGGTCTACTGCACGAGATACAGTGACCGACCTAGTTCCGGTAAGTTGTTACTAGAATTATTTTTATTTCTTGACTTAAATTAATTCGAAAATCAGTCTTTTCTTTCTATTCTATTGTTAGTTTGTTTGTTTGTTTTAATATTATTTATATATTACAGTGCGTCTTCACTGACGTATCACCTGTACCAAAACTACTTTTACTATTATACTATATAAATTGAATAGCCTACGACAGATATCTTTTGGTAAACTGGTAAACTTGATGTTCGTAATTATAGTGATTGATTGGTTAATATAAAACATACAAAATTAGACACTATTTTGTGTATATTTAACTAGATTGATATTCATTTACTATGTTGATTACATTTAATTGTCCAATTCGATTTTACATTTCACACAAACTTCTTAAATACTTCCTAATTAAATGTATAATTTTGTTATTGTGTAACCTTTGGAAATCATCATCATCATCATCAGCTCACTATACGTCCCCACCGAGGGGCTCGGAGCCTACCCTAAGTTAAGGGTGATTAGGCCATAGTCAACCACGCTGGCCAAGTGCGGGTTGATTGACCTTTGAAAATAATTACATTAAATTAAATTAGAAGAGTAAGATTTCTAACATAACAAAAAAACTTAACTGGCATTGATAATAAAAAGGTTAATATGACCTAGAAACCTCATTTTTTCGATTATAAAACAGTTAATAGTTGCGTTATAACTGTTATAATTAACGAAACGTTATTATTGTGTGAAATCGCGCGTTACTCTACATCCTGGCACACGCCCTTTTTTTGTCTTGGCGTGGCCGCCGGGGCAACGATCTAACAAGGTTAGTTGAAATTGATACTTAATATTAGCTCAGTGGTTAGTGTATTTAAGATACGTCCGAGATTCAAAACAAGACGTATGCAGATGTACATGTAAAAAAGATATATTTGTTCCAATGAATGAAATTGCTATATATGATAAAGCGTAAAGAAGATAAAATGTGATTTTAAAAATCTCTCAGAACTATTTGACCGGGACTTTGTCCGTTAGAATTAAAAAAAATACTCTTAATAAACAAAGCATATGTTCCTTCTTTGCAATAAAGAAATATTTATTTCAAATCGGTTCATTACTTTCGTAGCCTATTCAATCGAAACAATGAAATCTTTCCTCTTTTATTTAATAAACTTACATATAACTAATTGGGTCTAATATTAAGTATTTATACTTATTAGAGGTTAGATTTTATCTAATTAGTTAATAAAAACCTTAAAAATAACCAATTGGTTTCTAACCTCTAAACTAAATAACCAAATCTCGAACATTCCATTTACCTTATTCCAATTTTAAAACTGGCTGTATAACAAAACAATGACCTATTAAATAAAAAAGAAACATTCAAATTTTGTAATAGAAAAACAAAGAGTGATGAAAGACACAGCTAAGGCGATCCGAGTCGGGTGTGGCGCAAAGCCAGTACACACTAAGCGTTTTTAAACACGCGCATTTAAAAAAACTAAATAAAAAAATGCTTTGTTTCTATATCTTTAGGTACTGTAATGTATTTTAGGTGATATTTGATGTACCAAATTTAATTCTTATTATTTTTATTTGCTAATAAGAAATTAATGGGAAAAAGGGAGTGTATTAGAGTGCAACTGTGGAGGGGATAGGTAGGTATATCGCCGTTCAAATATTTAAATGCATAGAATTTGAAACTAAATTATTTGTATTTATTAAACGTTTATTACATCACATTTTTTATGAAAATGTCAAGGAATCGTATGTTTTGGGCTTTAGATAAAGTTGTATTCCATTGGGCGTTTTAAAAACGCGCCTTGCTTGCCTTTAGTATTCACTCGCCTAGTGTGTACCGCACCCGCTCAATCGTTCGCGTGAATACGAACCGATTAATTGCTAGGCGATTTCGATTGTTTAATGCCGTATTAATGTTCGTTTAATTAATCTTACTTCTGTCTGTGTAAAGCGGTTGTTATCTGTTTTTTTTTTTTTTTTTACTTAAAACGATAGACAGATTCGTTTTTTTTTATTACTACAATAGCAGATTTAATAAACATCCTATAGTTACTATGAATTATAAATCTTGAGTTTGTTTTGGAATTGGCCGAACATAAAATATGTATTAGAAATTATTCGGAAATTGAAAATGTTGTTATTTTTTTTTATTATTTGAAATCGGAATATTTATATTTTTAATCTGTGTTGTTTTTAAAACGTCACGCGTTTTCGCTTTAAAAATAAAGTTATTGAAATTTTAAACGTTTGAAAAAGGAACACTTTAGCAAGTATAATTTGCCGTTGTCACCTCTAAACAGCTGATGTTTTGTGTTTAAATAAAACATGTTTTAGTCTTTTTGATGTTTGCATCCTTCGTACTCGGGTGCATCAATAAATAACTAGGCAAACGACGTATTATAAATCTGTCGCATTAATTTAATTTTATCTGTCATCTGAGGCACAGACTGTAAAGGAACGCGCGCAAATGTTTGTTTTTTATATATTTTTTTTAAATCGTTTCGGCTCAGGCAGCGTTAGGTTTAATCCTTCAATTTTTTTTTTAAATTTGAAATATTTGTTTAATATAAACACCAGTAGCTGTTTCATATTGAAGTATTTTGCATTTGCAAAGGTTTTAATGAGGATGGATCGATTTTTTTTTAATATTTACTGGTGACTGAAAATTATCGTTTCTTTCGTCTTATACTTTGTAGATAAATATTAAAATGTGTACTTTCCTTAATTTTGATTGTAAAATGTAAGTTATTCAACAAAAATTACATTAAGTTAGTAACAATCAATACGTCAAAGTTCCAAGGGCCATCAATAACGTTTCTTTTCACCTTTATTACCTTGCCCTTAATTAATTCAAGTTAAATTAGACTGACTATAAAATGCATCGTAAAATATTCCTTTGCCCTCACGATTGTTTTTTTTTATATTTGATTAAGACTATGGCCGCCTTTGATATTTAGAATAAAAAAATAAGAACTCTATGGTCGCAATAATTTGAATTTAGAATCACTGTTAAGGATATTTTTTAATCTATATCTCGGAAATTGTATGAGTCATGTTTGTGGTTTTTATAAACTGACTAACACGTTGTATGGAGTGGTAAGTCAACGAAATTTATTTCAAATTTTCCTACCAATTAAATAAAAATTTTGATGAATACATTTACGACCAAAACAACATCGAACTTGATATTTTTGTCATATAATTGCTTTTCAGCACTAAAATTGTAATTTTAAGAAAAAAAATCTTGCAATTTCATAAGTTGTTAATAAATCATTGGCCGAAAAAAACGACTTGTCGACATCAAGAAACTCCGCGATGACAGATGTCAATTGCCACGGCGCCATTTTAATAACGCGAGTATCGATTTATCGGAAATCGAGTTTTGGAGATTATTTCGTAATTAAAAAACAGAAAATTGTTTTTTTTTTATAAGGTAATTAGTTTCTATCAAAAGCTCAGTTTAAAATATATTGTTATCTCTGCTTTGTCAAAGATATTGACGATATGTTTTATACAAAGATTTTGGTCTCAAAAACCAACGGTTAATCAAGCAATTAACGGTCTGTTAGAGTTTAAGACTAATATTGAATAAAATATTTGAATGTTACCACTAATCTTGAATAAAAAAGTATTTCCTACAACATTAGGTTAGTTCAACCCACAAACTTATAGCAAAATCGATAAAAAATAAAATTCAATAACCAAGTAATTCCGAGTTTCCTTTTTTTAACGTCAGCTTGATATAAAGGATATGACAGTAAAATATATAGCCAGAGACGCAAACTTGGTGGTGGGATGCAGTTTAAAATCACTTATCGTAAACACTTAGGCCTTTACTGCAATTATTTTATAACGAGTCTACACGCCCGATGACTAAAAGAAAAAAAAATTGTCTGTGGTTGTAAAAAAATCAATTGACAACATAATTATGTACCGCCATCATTATTTTTCGCGTTGTACGTTGTATTTTTTTTTAATTAAAAAAAAGAGACGCCTTTTGCACTTTATAAATGTCCTCACGGGACTCGAAGTTGATTCACGTTAGTGAACATAATTAGCAATTGATATAATAATCGATAACCTAATTTATATTACATTAAGGTTCAAAATTGAATTTCTTTCTGTTTTGTAAGTGTAAATTATAACCGTGACAATTCATCGACGAAACAGGTGAAATAATGAAACAATTTAGTAGCTATTATTTTGTACGATTATCGTTTTTTTGCACGGCAGCCATCTTGTTCTTCGTAATGGCGGAACGCCCAGTTGCAAGGCTTAAAAAGGTACATTTGGTGGGTTCGTTGACACGGTTATCGGCCGGCCCGTTTTGGCGTTTTGCCACTTAATTGGCTCTAGGCGTGAAATATTGCATCTTATTTGCTTAATGACTATGATGGATGTCGCTGCGTTTCATTATACCATTGCAGAAATTTATAATGTAATTTCTTTTAAATTGGTCGGTGTCATATTTTTATTTTTTAATTAGTAATCTTTATTTTTTACATTTTGTAGTATTCATTGTCGTTTCTTTTGTTTTATTTTGTCTTACACTAAGTTGTTTAAGCCAATAGTTAAATCTTACTAATATTATAAATGCGAATGTTTAGATCAGTCTTTCCCAAAGCGGGCGATTAACGCCTTGTGGGCGCTGCAGGTCTCAAGTTGCGGGTTATAGTAAAAGTTTCCTTTACAATTCTCCGTTAATATACATATATAGGTCACAATAATTAATTTAATTTCAAGTTATAGTGGTTTTTAAATATGTGAAAATATGGGGGCGCTAAAAAAATATTTATTCTTGAAGTGGGGTGAAGTAGACATAATAAGTTTGGGAACCTCTAGAACGGCTCAATGGTTCTTGATCAAATTTGACATGGATGTAGGATTAAGTCTGGAACAACACATAGACTACTAAGTTTTTCTTGATAACACGCGAACGGTGTCACAGACGACAACGAGTAATGTTTTTTTTATTTAACATTAGTAAGTTAGTAGTTTGTTAATATCCAA